ACTCAATATATTGAAGTTTCTTGCAGCAGCAACAACCGATGATATCAAAACAAACACCACATTGCTATCCGTGTCGCTTATGAACAGATCCACCTATAAACAGAAGAAATGTAATGAAAAGTTTTGGAAAAAAGTTCGTTAAGTCTGCTCACACACTTGGGATGGAGCTTAAGCCTTCATCGGGGAATTTCGTGAAAGGACCTTCTCTCCGAAAATTGTGCTGGACCCGGAGGGGTTCGAACCACTCCCCTTCACGTCTGGGCGCAATGTTCCCACTACACCACTGGTCCTTTGCCTTCCAGGTTCAGTTTGGCAGCACATCTGCTGTGTATCTGTCTTTCAAAACAAGATGCACCTTGCTTTTCTTCCCTTCTTCTTTGTGGCAGCTTCTTGGCCGGCTTTTCGCGAGTTTTCCGCGATACGCCTGCCATAAAGATGCCTAGATGATTAACACCCGCCATGAACACGCAAGAAGCACTCCAACCACAAGCCAGAAATGCACGCCAGCACGCCGGCTTTCCGATCTTGCAAGACATAGCGAGCCAATCATAAGCAGGTCAAAAGCAGTGAAAACCTCATAATCAATGAGGGATAGGAAAAAGCGCATATTTCTTCGCTTCAACATATCCGGTAGCTCGGTGTGCAGCAGATCTTCGATGTTCAATGCAGTTTCAGTAAAAAAGAGAGGTTCACGTAGACCACCATGTGAGGGGTTTTCCGTCTGTGCTTCAAAATCTGAAATATTTTTAAATTTGCTATCAATACAACCAATTATACCGATAAATCATGCATCGAAAAAACCTCTCATAAAATTTTTTTCAAACGCACAATCCCCATGGGTCAACCATTCTTCGAATTACGGACAAGAAGCTCGACCCCCTTCTCAATCCATACACTACCTTTACAAGAGGAATTCCTCATTGGTGACAAAAATAACTACTAATTCTGTCCGAATTCTAATTTTATCCAATCTTAAAGAGATATGCAAGTGGGTTCAATCATCTCATTAGGGTAGTAAAATTTTGTAAAAATTTGTTAAAAAAATTCATCTCATTAGATTAGTAAAAAATTTAGAGCATTAGTAAAAAAAAATAAAGATATGAAAAATAAGGTTGATACCGGTTTCTGTTATTTTCTTCAGATGGTAACTACGAGGCTTGAATCCTGGATATGGTGCAACAGCATCCACCGCTACAATACCCTGCGCATAAAAGGCATGGGCACTGGGTTCAGTGCCATCTGGATCGACTTTTGCGATATCAATTACTTGGTAAACCTGAAATTACCAGAACTGGAGCATTAAGAATATTAAAAAAACAGCTGCTGAATTTAAACCCGCCGAACTCGAAAAATGCAGGTAATGTGCGCTAAATAAATAAATGATTCTTTCAGTGGAACAATCATTCCTTCTACAGATCACGGTAAATTGTTACTGGAACATTCCAAGGAATTGGAATTGCAATCAGCTTATTACTGAGCAGTTCTTCAAAGAGGGAACCATCGACAGCCTTGTGAAATTGTTTTTACCAATTACTCAACCTACTTCCGGAGTGCTACCGTCTCTCATGGAGAATGAGCAAGAAAGAAAGCTATAACTTTGAATTGATCAATTTTTCAACAAGCAACTTTTCAACAACCTTTTCCAGAAAAAAAAACATACGGTACGTGAAAAATCTGGCGGTTTAAGCGGAGGACAATTCTTGCTGAAGAAATATGAAACGAGCATTGGTCCACCACAAAGTACCGCACCATTATCTGTCTGACGG